CAGCAGGTCTTGATGTCCATCAGCAGGTCTTGATGTCTGCAGGTCAGCAGGTCATGTCCATCAACAGGTCTTGATGTGATCTTGATGTCCGTCAGCAGGTCTTGATGTCTTTCAGCAGGTCTTGATGTCCATCAACAGGTCTTGATGTCTGCCAGCAGGCCTTGATGTCCATCAACAGGTCTTGATGTACATCATCAGATCTTGATGTCCATCAACAGGTCTTGATGTCCATCAGCAGGTGTCCATCAACAGGTCTTGATGTCAATCAAGAGGTCTTGATGTCCATCAGCAGGTCTTGATGTCTGTCAGCATGTCTTGATGTCCATCAGCAGGTCTTGATGTCTGTCAGCAGGTCTTGATGTCCATCAGCAGGTCTTGATGTCTTGTCAGCAGGTCTTGATGTCTGTTAGCAGGACTTGATGTCCATCAGCAGGTCTTGATGTCCATCAGCAGGTCTTGATGTCCATCAACAGGATTTGATGTCATCAGTAGGTCTTGATGTACATCATCAGCAGGTCTTGATGTCCATCAGCAGGTCTTGATTTCTGTTGGCAGGTCTTGATGTCCATCAGTAGGTTTTGATGTCTGCCAGCAGGTCTTGATGTCCATCAGCAGGTCTTGATGTCTTTCAGCAGGACTTGATGTCCATCAACAGGTCTTGATGTACATCATCAGATCTTGATGTCCATCAACAGGTCTTGATGTCTTGATGTCCATCAGCAGGTGTCCATCAACAGGTCTTGATGTCCATCAGCAGGTCTTGATGTCCATCAGCAGGTCTTGATGTCTGTCAGCAGGTCTTGATGTCCATCAGTAGGTTTTGATGTCTGCCAGCAGACCTTGATGTCTGCCAGCAGGACTTGATGTGTGTCAGCAGGACTTGATGTTGGTCAGTAGGTCTTGATGTCCATCAGCAGATCTTGATGTCCGTCAGCAGGTCTTGATGTCCATCATCAGATCTTGATGTCCATCAGCAGGTCTTGATGTGTGTCATCAGGAATTGATGTTGGTCCGAAGGTCTTGATGTCAGTCAGCAGGTCTTGATGTCCATTAACAGGATTTGATGTTGGTCAGTAGGTCTTGATGTACATATGCAGGTCTTGATGTGTAGCAGCAGGTCTTGATGTCTGCCATCAGGCCTTGATGTCCATCAACAGGTCTTAATGTACATCATCAGATCTTGATGTCCATCAATATGTCTTGATGTCCATCAACAGGTCTTGATGTCCATCAGCAGGTCTTGATGTCCATCAGCAGGTCTTGATGTCTGTCAGCAGGTCTTGATGTCCATCAGCAGGTCTTGATGTCTGTCAGCATGTCTTGATGTCCATCAGCAGGTCTTGATGTCCATCAGCAGGTCTTGATGTCTGCAGCAGGTCTTGATGTCCATCAGCAGGTCTTGATGTCGGTCAGCAGGTCTTGATGTACATCATCAGATCTTGATGTCCATCAGCAGGTCTTGATGTGTGTCAGCAGGACTTGATGTCCATCAGCAGGTCTTGATGTCTTTCAGCAGGTCTTGATGTCCATCAGCAGGTCTTGATGTCTGTCAGCATGTCTTGATGTCCATCAGCAGGTCTTGATGTCTGTCAGCATGTCTTGATGTCCATCAGCAGGTCTTGATGTCTGCCAGCAGGTCTTAATGTCCATCAGCAGATCTTGATGTCCGTCAGCAGGTCTTGATGTCCATCAGCAGGTCATGATGCCCATCAGCAGTTCTTGATGTTGGTCAGCAGGTCTTGATGTGTGTTAGCAGGACTTGATGTTGGTCCGTAGGTCTTGATGTCAGTCAGCAGGTCTTGATGTCCATCAACAGGATTTGATGTCAGTCAGTAGGTCTTGATGTACATATGTAGGTCTTGATGTCTATCAGCAGGTCTTGATGTCTGTCAACAGATCTTGATGTCCATCAGTAGGTTTTGATGTCTGGCAGCTGGTCTTGATGTCTGCCAGCAGGTCTTGATGTCTGTCAGCAGGTCTTGATGTCCATCAACAGGGCTTGATGTCCATCAGCAGGTCTTGATGTCTACTAGCAGGCCTTAATGTCCATCAACAGGTGTTGATGTCCATTAACAGGTCTTGATGTCCATCAGCAGGTGTCCATCAACAGATCTCGATGTCCATCAGCAGGTCTTGATGTCTTTTAGCAGGTCTTGATGTCCATCAGTAGGTTTTGATATCTGCCAGCAGACCTTGATGTCTGCCATCAGGACTTGATGTCTGCCAGCAGGTCTTGATGTGTGCCAGCAAGGCTTGATGTCCGCCAACAGGTGTCCATCAACAGGTCTTGATGTCCATCAGTATGTCTTGATGTCCGTCAGCAGGTCTTGATGTGTGTCAACAGGAATTGATGTTGGTCCGAAGGTCTTGATGTCAGTCAGCAGGTCTTGATGTCCATTAACAGGATTTGATGTTGGTCAGTAGGTCTTGATGTATATATGCAGGTCTTGATGTGTAGCAGCAGGTCTTGATGTCTGTCAACAGATCTTGATGTCCATCAGTAGGTTTTGATGTCTGCCAGCAGGTCTTGATGTCCATCAGCAGGTCTTGATGCGTGTCAGCAGGACTTGATGTTGGTCAGTAGGTCTTGATGTCCATCAGTAGGTCTTGATATCTGTCAACAGGACTTGATGTCCATCAACAGGTCTTGATGTACATCATCAGATCTTGATGTCCATCAACAGGTCTTGATGTCCATCAGCAGGTGTCCATCAACAGGTCTTGATGTCTGTCAGCAGGTCTTGATGTCTTTCAGCAGGTCTTGATGTCCATCAGCAGGTCTTGATGTCAGGTCTTGATGTCCATCAGCAGGTCTTGATGTGTGTCAGCAGGACTTGATGTTGGTCAGTAGGTCTTGATGTCCATCAGTAGGTCTTGATATCTGTCAACAGGACTTGATGTCCGTCAGCAGGTCTTGATGTGTAGCAGCAGGTCTTGATGTCTGTCAACAGATCTTGATGTCCATCAGTAGGTTTTGATGTCTGCCAGAAGGTCTTGATGTCCATCAGCAGGTCTTGATGCGTGTCAGCAGGACTTGATGTTGGTCAGTAGGTCTTGATGTCCATCAGTAGGTCTTGATATCTGTCAGCAGGACTTGATGTCGGTCAACAGGTCTTGATGTCAGTCAACAGGTCTTGATGTCCATCAACAGGATTTGATGTCAGTCAGTAGGTCTTGATATCTGTCAGCAGGACGTGATGTCGGTCAGCAGGTCTTGATGTCTGTCAGCAGGTCTTGATGTCCATCAGTAGGTTTTGATGTCTGCCAGCAGACCTTGATGTCTGCCAGCAGGACTTGATGTCTGCCAGCAGGGCTTGATGTGCGCCAGCAGGTCTTGATGTCTGCCAGCAGGGCTTGATGTCTGCCAGCAAGGTTTGATGCCCGCCAGCAGGTCTTGATGTCGGTCAGCATTTTTTGATGTCCATCAGTAGGTCTTGATTTCTGTTAGCAGGACTTGATGTCGGTCAGCAGGTCTTGATGTCCGTCAGCAGGTCTTGATGTCCATCAGCAGGTCTTGATGTCCATCAGCAGGTCTTGATGTCCATGAACAGCTCTTGATTTCCATCAGGAGGTTTCCATCAATAGGTCTTGATGTCCATCAGCAGGTCTTGATGTCCATCAACAGGTCTTGATGTCCATCAGCAGGTCTTGATGTCTGTCAGCAGGATTTGTTGTCTGCCAGCAGACCTTGATGTCTGCCAGCAAGACTTGATGTCTGCCAGCAGGGCTTGATGTGCGCCAGCAGGTCTTGATATCTGCCCTCAGGGATTGATGTGCGTCAGCAGGTCTTGATGTCTGTCAGCAGGTCTTGGTGTTCACCAGCAGGCCTTGATGTCTGCCAGCAGGGCTTGATGTCCGCCAGCAGGTCTTGGTGTTCACCAGCAGGCCTTGATGTCTGCCAGCAGGGCTTGATGTCCGCCAGCAGGTCTTGGTGTTCGCCAGCAGGGCGTGATGTCCGCTGGCAGGTCTTGATGTCTGTCAGCAGGTCTTGGTGTTAACCAGCAGGTCTTGGTGTTTGCCAGCAGGGCTTGATGTCCGCCAGTAAGATGACATAATCGACACACAAGACATTAACATTAACTCTTATGTCACTGGCCAACAAAAACTTGATTCTACATCCCTAGGATATCTTTTATTTAACATTATTAGTTACTGCCAAATACAAGCAATGGAGGTCAAACAGTCCCAAGATAAAGCCTATGTTTGTTTGTTGACGTTTGCTTCATCGAAAGTTTGTGGAGGGAGAGGAGAGGCAGAAATGATAGGTGGGGTCTGAAGTATTTCTCGGGAGGGTGGGAAGGGGCGGTTTGTGGCCATTACCCATAATGCATTCTATTAATCTACACCTAAGTGAGGAATTCAATTCAAAGATACATTAAACTGATAATTTTCTTAAATTCTTGCTTGATACGTTCAATAAACGAGACTTGTACATTGTATTTCCTTGGTAACAAAATCAAGCTCTAGATCTTGAAAACCTACATTTTAAAAACTTCATGCTTATATTATTTATAAGTCACAAATATGAAATTCAGAATCGCTTTCACTCTTGATTACAATTTGCTACAAATATTTTCTGCGCTATATTAGTGTTATTTCATCTGCCCTGTTTTGATATTTGCGACAACTGACCGTGGAAAAAAAGTACGCCCAGTCCATCACGGATCTTTCCGGGAGTAAATTTTGCTGATAAAATATATGTAGTTTTTCTTCCTGGAATCTCGGAAACATCACCTTACTAGCGACTTATGAATTCATGTCTGAAGTCGTTAGCTTGAGACGCCGAACGAATCACTGTGGTCATAAATTGTAAGTTCCCAGAGTTCGCGTTTCTGTAAGATGTACGATGAACATATTATGTTGATTAAAAAAGTTAATATCTAAAGTATAATCAATAATTGATACCGAAAATCCTGTAAGCGGATGGGGACCATATAAAACCTAAATATTAATTATATAAATAACTTTTAGATTTTTTTAAGATATATAGACAAGATTTATCAATATTCATCCTCCTCATCAATCGTATTTTCGTCGTACGAGTCCGCCCCTACTTCCTCATAATCCTTTTCTAAAGCCGCCAGGTCCTCGCGAGCTTCATGGAATTCTCCCTCCTCCATACCCTCCCCCACGTACCAGTGGACGAAGGCACGCTTGGCATACATCAGATCGAATTTATGGTCAAGACGGGCCCAGGCGTCAGCAATGGCTGTTGTGTTACTCAACATGCAAACGGCACGTTCGACTTTTGCCAGATCTCCTCCAGGCACCACTGTTGGGGGTTGGTAGTTGATGCCGACTTTGAAGCCGGTTGGGCACCAGTCGACGAACTGGATTGATCTTCTCGTCTTTATGGAGGCGATGGCGACATTGACATCCTTTGGCACGACGTCACCTCTGTAGAGGACACAGCATGCCATGTAGCGACCCTGGCGGGGGTCGCACTTAACTAGCTGGTTAGCTGGCTCAAAACAGGCATTGGTGATTTCCGCGACTGTGAGTTGCTCGTGGTAGGCTTTCTCGGCGGAAATGACTGGCGCGTAGGTTGCCAGCGGGAAGTGGATGCGAGGATAAGGTACCAGGTTAGTCTGAAACTCTGTCAGGTCAACGTTCAAAGCACCGTCAAAACGAAGGGAGGCGGTGATGGAGCTGACAATCTGCCCTATCAGGCGGTTCAGATTGGTGTAGGTTGGGCGCTCTATGTCCAGATTACGTTTACAAATGTCATAGATAGCCTCGTTGTCGACCATGAAAGCACAGTCAGTATGTTCAAGTGTTGTGTGGGTAGTAAGAATGGAGTTGTAAGGTTCTACCACTGCCGTCGATATTCGGGGAGCAGGGTACACTGCAAACTCAAGCTTGGATTTCTTCCCATAGTCTACACTGAGACGTTCCATCAAGAGTGAACCAAATCCCGACCCTGTCCCACCGCCGAAGCTGTGAAACAGAAGAAACCCTTGAAGACCTTCACATTGGTCTGTGAGTTTCCGGATCCGGTCCAAGACCTGGTCCACATATTCTTTACCTACGGTGTAGTGACCGCGAGCATAGTTGTTAGCCGCGTCCTCTTTCCCTGTTATTAACTGCTGGGGATGGAACAGGTGTCGAAACGTTCCAGTACGGACCTCGTCTGTTGGAAATAAACCAGTCAGTGCATTTTCATGATAAGTTAACTTAAATAAGAATTTCTGGTGGACAATGGATATGAATGAAGATTAATCAGCAGCATAAAAATCAAACAATGAATTCCTTTTGTGAATCTTGAACTTCGTAACGAACATTTTTTTCAAAAGGACGATACAGAAATGAGTGATGGAAATGTTTTCCCCGAAGCTTTCAAAACCACAACAAAATGAAAACTCGCTTAGGAAACATCTCACAAAACCAGATCACGAAAATGCTCGAAAATTATTTTCGTGTCTATGTTTTGTATATTTCACTATGAGAACATCTCACTTTTAAAATCACTTGGTAAATAAGACCAGTTCGATATAGTATCAAAGGCAAGTTTAAGTCACAAATTTATTAAGTATATTTGTGTCAACTGGCTGTTGCAGAATCGATTTCTTGGCGCTGTTATTGCTACAGTGTATAAAACATATACTGTTAACTTAATAATTGTGATGTCGTGGACAAATCGAGTTGATAATAGATGTCTGTCTTATTTGACTTGTCAGACTTCCCTTGAAAACAAACCCGAATTTTCTAAGATCCCTTTGGTCCAATCCATGTGTTGTAGTTTTAACAGTGAGTTTTTGTCTGTTTTATCCTCGTAACGTGAGTTTAACTGGACACAGAACACCTATACGGGAAGCAATGACCAGGAGAGGAATCGACATTTCTGGTGATTCACACTTACCCACTACGTTTGGCTCGAGGTCAGCAAAGATGGCCCGGGGGACATGTTTTCCCGAACCTGTTTCAGCAAAGAAAGTATTGAAGGAGTCGTCTCCCCCTCCAATGGTCTTATCAGAAGGCATCTGACCATCCGGTTGGATACCATGCTCAAGGCAATACAACTCCCAGCAGGCGTTGCCCATCTGGACACCGGCTTGACCAACGTGGACACTTATACACTCCCTCTAGATAAGGGAAATCAAATTAATGTCACAAATGTACCAGAGTCACATTTCTGGACAGTTGTCCAATGTAGTTTAAGCCAAGCACACAGTGTTATTATATTTGGTAAAACAGTTTGCATAATACCCGAAATTGCAAATTATTTAAAAAAAAAAAAACGCAGACTCAACGGGACATGAATATAATGTTATTTGCAACAAGTCATATATAAAATCTTTATCGGTTGCAAAATGTTCACTTTCTGTACATCGAGCCCAGAATTTGTTTCAATGAAAAGTACATTATATACGACACTCGTCTAAACGGCATCACAAAGAAAATATCTTTTAATGTACGTCAGATACAAAATCTCCCTTAATGTATATTAGGTACAATAAATCTCTTAACATAAATCAGATCAATTTTTTTCCCATCAAAATAAAAAAAATATCTTATTAAGCATCACATGAAAGTTTGACTTAAGTTACATCAGAATCAACATAAGTCTCGCTATATATCACATACAAAATATGTCTTAATGTTCATTAGGTACAAAGTAAAATTAGAGGTTTGAAATAAAAATACATCTAAATTTCAACATTTTTATGACTATATACCTGATAGACCTACCACCATTTTAAGCTTTTTTCCAAGTTTATGAAATACTTTTCACTGTATGATTATCCAGAGAACGGCTGTTGGTATTATATTGTTGACGAAATCAATACCAGTAACATCTGGACCTTCTGATTATAGACACAAATACATGTCGCCGACATTATTAGAAACTCAGAAAGTCCGCATTAATCAATTCCATATGTTCATCTGGATAAGGCAAGCGTGATTTTTCGATAAATCTTTATTCTAGTACTTGTCACTTTGAAGTTTGATTTTCAAAAACTCGAGAATACTTATCAATGATGTAAATTTCTTGAATGGTGCATCGGCGCAAATGACCAATTCGTGTATCAGTGCAAATTAGCAGACGATTCATCGCCAAACTGACAGTATAATCAAAACTTTGTATTGAAAAGTGATACTTTTTAGCATGTTATCACTGTGATGTAAGTGATAGAAAACGTTCATAATTAGCGATAATACTAACTTTTTCTGCTTTATATCGAAGCGGTTAACTTTTCAGGAAAAAAAACAAAAAACATATATCGATCAGATGTACAGATGTCTGTTATTGGTGGCAGAAACGCATTTCACATGACTGTAGAAATAGTAGCGCGAAGATGCGGGATCACTTATGTCACAATATCTACAATAAGGATCTAACATTACTTACCATGTTTGTTGTTTAAATGCGGACGACAGAATTTTTTATGGACGACTGTAAAGCTCGAGGCGAGTACGATTGTTTGCAGACAGCAAGAAGTGAGAAATCGCAGTGATAATATTTCCTCCGAACTGATGAGGGAACTGTAGATTTCCTTCAATGAAAAAGACGACGGTGTAGATTTCCTTCGCTGAAAAAGACGACGGTGTAGATTTCCTTGTAGACGATTATGAATCCATAAGGCGAGTGACAGGATTATTCCCTCTACGTTTAACACCTAATGCAACAGCTCGGGTCGTCAATAACAGACTAAGTATACATTGCCGGGCTAGGTCCACATCAGGGGTATATACATGCTTTACTTTATTCAGAAAACGAGTCTGATTTTTTCTGCGTTTACTCTTTCAAGCTACATGTGACATGCGCAGCAAGTACCCAGACCAATCACAGACAGAATTCTCGATATACAAAGTATTTAATATAAACTAGTATGAGTTCATCCGAACATTTAAATATGAACTTTCTGTCATTACTACACTGTGTTATGTTTAACAATATCTAATACATCTAAGCATTGTGATCCTAATAATCCCCTCCCACCCCCATCCCCAGCCATCCCCTGCCACCCCCATCCCCAGCAAATGAATCTACGAATCCGATTGGACATTTGACGCCACGTGGTTGATGTAAAAAAAAGAGCAATATGACCGTGATGCGCCGCTTCAATATTTTGCTAAAAATAAACACTTTTCATAGCCTGTTCCAGCCTGTGTTTTACCTGGGAGTCCATATCTGAAGAAGCTGACAAAGTCAGACAGGTCTTGTGGACATGAAGTCTTGGATTGTTTGTTGTCATTTTTTCCTACTTATTCCGTCAGAAGAAATTATTTTTTATCTTTAGGTCACCATGAGACTTTGTCTATACTTATGCCCTTCATCCGGCGCCGTGTGTCTGCTCACAATATAACACTTTCGACTTATTCTCAAAAACCCCTGTTCCAATTTCAGTGAAATTTTGCAGAACTAGTGACCTTCCCTGGCCTAAGATGAACCAGAATTGTGAATCATACAGTCCTCGTCCCCCAGGGCCTAATTTCAAAAAATCTTCTTCTCAAGACCAAGATATGATATGATAAAATGCTCTTCATGAATGGAAGCATCTTAAGGTGCTTTCATTATCAAAATGAGTCTCGTATATCTTCCTGGGGAGGAATTATTTTTTTTTACTCTAATTTTCATAGAAAATTGTATTTTTGAGCATAACGTTGGTTATTTCCCACTGGAAATAACTTTTCAGGAGTTATCAGTTTATGATGACAGTTTTGATGGAATGCATGTATTGACACTGTCTATATTCAGTGTCACAATTTCTGTTTCATGACACTTGATATCTCACGTGACCATCAAGGCTGCTAGGCCTCTTGTTCCACTATATCTATCAACCTGCAACATCTCCTCTAATAAACCATTTGTCAGTTGCTATGAAACTTGGCATAAATGGATCAGTAACTTTGTTTTGGCATAGCGGGAAATACTTGTCCTTTGAAAGTATATACAGAGTTACTGTTCTTGGTCAGTGAACAGTTTCTCGTGAATGAAAGCCCGAATTTGTTGAGTTTTCCGTCCGTTGTTCGCTATCGACGATACATTAACTCTATTACTTCCGACTAATTATAGTTGAAGTATTTCTAAAAATGTACAATCAGTTTGTATCTATCATCTTATACCAACCAATGAAATCGCTTGAATAAAACAAACGTCGTCATTTCAATATAATTTGAATGTGACTTTCTGCAGCTCTGAATTTTTTAGTCAGCTTTTAGTATTATTCTTTAGTTTCGTCTTTTTTCGCGTCAAAATGTACTATACAGTTTACAATTCTTAATAATTGTTTTTCACTTAATTTCACATGCGGTTACCATTTTAATCATACAAATTAACGTTAATTTCAAGCCTTGTAAAGTAACTAGTATAATCCCGAGACATCCTTCTCCCCGAACGAAATCAAAATATTCCGAAAGTTTTTAAACTTCCTTTCGCGCCGGTCTACAAGCATGTGGGTACGCAAAAATTCTATTTCTCGTTTGTAAACCCAATACAAAAGCACATTTTGTTCTGAAATTATGGTTAGAATTGCAATTGTAGGATCCTCGCATATAAGGCGATTGAATCATGATGATGAGTTGATCTGTGGCGCCACAGTATCCAAATTCCTTTGAAGAAGTGGTTGTGTAGTTGACAACTATTGAATAATTTTTGACATTACCAATATGTTTCTAAATTTAGTTTAAATGAAATATTTTTTAGTGCATATTTGGATCCATAAATAATTTCTATACCTTTCAGTTAAAAGTCAGAAGCAGTTTTCACACATCTAAATCATACTGTGAAAAGATGTGTCAGACGATGCTGACAACAGAAGGCTCCAGAGCTCCATGTCATCAGTGCCTAACCGAAGCAGCGGTTGGGTTATCATTAGCAGAGAAATCTGTAAGTTCACATTGCACATCTGGGAAACCAGTGACTTCCAGGAAAGTCTGGATGGAAACAGGGGAAGACCTGTGACGCTGGAGAGACAGTTGGCAACCAGGAATAGACTGGTATCTGGACATGATTGGGCTAGCACCCCACCATGCAGTTCTTGTGAAAGGACACCAGTATACAGCTACAACACAACGACATGAACAACACACCCAGAGTCTCCCGAGAGGGGGGAGGATGAGAGGCTCACTCGGACGGACATATCGGAAACGGATTTGGCAAGAACACGGACAAGATCACAAAGCCGGATGTTGCAGTTAAAACTTACTGGAGGTGTCTCTACTACAACATGCCCTTGTGGAAAAGTTTGCAAGAATGTTCGGGGACTCCGAATTCACCAGGCAAGGTCAAGCAGTTTCTCTGCAGGTTCCCAGAAGCAACACACAAAATATTCTTTTGATGAGACGGAGGAGGTTACCAGTCAGGAGACAAACCACAGTACTGGAGATCTCTTTGCTAATGAGTCACTTCATAGCAATAGCTCTGCCTTGAATGGTGTGGAGGAAGACCAGGAAGTTCATGCTACTGAAGATATAACACCACGGAAAGCGAGGGTCAAGTGGCCGAGAATGTCGGATGATAAAGAATGGAAGATATTTGAGGTAGACCTGGAGGGCATATTAGAGACAACGATGCAGGGAAGTGTAGAAAAGAAGCTGAACACCGTTACAACCATTGCATATAACTTGGGGAAAGAGAGATTTGGGATTGTAGAGAAAAAAACGCCAAGAACTTAACAAACAGAGAACAGGAGAGAAAGAGAAATAAGAAGTTTGAGGAGGGAACTGAATACGCTTAAGCGTAGATTTAGAAGAGCCCCAGAGGATGAAAGGATGGGACTCCAGCAGCTAAGAGATACCACCAGGAATAAACTTAGGAGGCTAAGAAAGGCTGAAAAACTACGGGCTGGCAGGAAGACCAGGGCTAGGAAAAGAGCACAGTTTGTCAAGGATCCTTTCAAGTTTACGAAAGACCTGTTGGGAGAAGAGCGCTCAGGCCAACTGGAAAGCTCAAAGACAGAGACAGAACATCATCTGCGGAATACGCACTGTGACGAAGAAAGAGCAACACCATTAGGAGACTGCCCAAGGGTTATAGAAGAAGATCCACTAAGTACCCCATTTAAAGTGGGAGAACCCTCGTGGAAGGAGGTGCAGGAAGTAGTTAGGAAAGCGAGATCAAAGTCAGCACCTGGCCCAA